GAATAACACTATTGGATATCGTTGGAGATGTTGGCAGCGATAGATGAGAGCCGAGCGGTGAAACACTGGCCTTGAGATTAGCTATCGATTGCTGGTCATGAGTGGACAGTTGGTGGACATTGCGATTGAATCCAGATTTGGATCCAAGTCTTCCGCATTCCTTCTTATGGTTGACAAATGTATTCAATATTGAGAACTGTTTTTTGCATTTCCCGCACTGAAACACATCCTCCTCTTCCTCCTCAACATCTGTTGATTCAAAAGTTAAACACATTTTCAATCATTGACTCAATTGTGCGAAACAACGGCATTAACCATACAATCCATAACTCATTAATCAAATGCCAAAAACAAACTTCTGATAACATAACTAAAGATAGGAAACACTTACCATTGTTTGCGATGTTTGAGGCATTCGTGTCATTGAAGAGCTGCTGAACCGCTAAAACCGTTTGGCTGTCAAGTGTTGGGACACCTAATGATAGAGCGAAACCATTAATACGAGACACTAATCGCGGGAATGAATGCAATGACAAAATGCATAAACAATTCAATCATATGTTTGTCGACACAAATCATTAAAGTATTGGCGGAAAAAAAGTTTAGTGTTTAGTGTTATGTGAAGCGAGTGTTTGCTGTAATAGCTGTTCATAAGGGCTGTGCTCTGTATTGTACGGCTCTTACAACCAAACAGCACACAACCCGTCCATAACTGTCCAAAACTGGTCACAACTATCGTCCGTCCGCTTCGGCGACCACTCAATACCTACCGACCGGTGCGTCGGGCCGTGCGGTAGGGGTGTTGGCCGTCGACCGCCCGTCAAACCACACCAATCGCTCGATTGAAGCCATTTTATGCGCGCTTAACACTGGGTCTCAACTCTTCAATGCATTCTCCATGAAAGCACTCAATACATCTCTATTCACACCAATACTCAACCCCTGGACTGCACTCACTCTCGACACCCAATCAATGCATTCCAGCACTCATTCCCGCACTAATTGAGCACTAATTGTGTGAATGAAAGACTCACCCAAATCGTAGATCAACTGCTGATGAGTGGCCATTAGTATTGCCAATACTCTACCACTCATACCCTTATCGCACGACCAGTAATGATGTCAACACATGTCCAGTCATTGCCGAGATTAATGCCAAAAGGGGGCCAAATATATGGGCCGTTATTTATGTCTACTTTACTAATGAATCGATTTTTAGTGTTTTCAATGCCATAACAATAATATTATGATTCAGTTGTTGTGTTGACAGTCATATGAAATGCAATTCAATGGGTGTTTGCATACGAATTGTGTTCACGTTTTCACTCATGTTTTCATTAATAAATCTTAATTAATAACAAGTGATTAACTTTTGCTCTCATTTCTCCCAAATGTGACACTTATTTGACTTTTTATTTACTTTTAAATTGTTATTAATTTTATGTAAAATACAATTTTATTTGATTTGTTTGACTCAAAAATAGTTGAGTGAAAGTAAAAGTGATGGCAATGTTTGCCACAAATCTAGTCTTAATTGTGATTCAAATTATAGTTTTATTACATTGTATTCGTTGCGAAGAGTTGTCCGAAAAGTGTGTCCAATGTTTGGACGACTCCTCAAGTGTTGAACAAAAATTTCCTGCATTTAGACAACGAAGACATTTACTCACGAGTGAAGCCAATGAAGACAACAACAAACAGTCGTTGAATGAGTCCACAACCGCGACAACTGTTTTGCCCCAAAACAGGTCTTGTCTTTAATGTCTTCAATTGTGTGTGTATTTCATAATGCATTGAATCCATTGTTAGCACTGATATGTCAAACACGACGGCCATCGGTAACGGAACCCAAAGCCCGTCCACGACATCGATCGCACCTCAAGACCCGATTCTTCCCCAAAAAGGCGCCGCAGAGGAGGAGAAGCACTCATCGATGGCTATATTCTTTGTGCTGACAGTCATTGGTTAGTTGTCCACAACTGATCCACTCATTTACTGATTATTTCTAATGTATTATATAATTGAATTGAATCCATGTATAGCTTCGTGTATTGTATTAATTCATTTCATAATCCAAACCAAATTTCAATACATCCCGGAATCGTTGGCCGTTGTATTCCTCGGAGCAACTATTGGTCTGATAATATAATTGAATTGAATCCATGTATAGCTTCGTGTATTGTATTAATTCATTTCATAATCCAAACCAAATTTCAATACATCCCGGAATCGTTGGCCGTTGTATTCCTCGGAGCAACTATTGGTCTGATTATGAAATTAATATCAAACCAACATTTGGGAGACTGGAAGGTATGAATCCATTAGATCTCCAAATACTGTCAAATATAGTAATTATTTGCATTTAACGTACAGAAAGAGGAAACTCTGAACCCAACGATGTTTTTCCTAATCCTATTGCCGCCCATTATCTACGAGTCGGGCTATAACTTACATAAAGGCAACTTTTTTCAAAACTTTGGCTCCATTTTAGTCTTTGCGATCGTCGGTACCTCTATATCGGCCTTCATTATCGGCGGCGGTGTTTACGTCTTGGGTTTGGTTTGTATTCAATTGAGTTTATATTTAATACATTAATGATTGTCAATAATTAAGACAATTGTTTGTTTTGGTCTTAAGGCTGACGTCGCGTATAAAATGAATTTTACCGAAAGCTTTGCTTTCGGAGCGCTTATATCTGCGGGTAATTAAGATATGATATGATTTTTGAGTGTTTGAATTCATTTTAATAATTGTGTGTTTAATTGATGACACAATACAACCGAACAGTTGATCCGGTGGCCACTCTCGCCATATTTAACGCCTTAGATATCGATCCCATTCTAAATATGTTAGTCTTTGGTGAAAGTATTCTTAACGATGCGGTCGCTATAGTATTGTCGACGACTGCACTCGAACTCTCGCAAATGTCTTCATCCGTTTCCGGTGAAGTCGCTGTTATTAATGGTATCGAAGAATTTATTAAAATAAATATTTTTATGCTTTCAAACCATTAGTGATGTATAAATTTGGATATAGATCTCAGATGAGTATTAATGTGTTATGAATTAATAGGATTTGTTAGGTTTGGTATTGTATTCTTTGGTTCGGCGGGAATCGGCGCCGCCTTTGCATTGATTGCAGCTCTGGTTTGTATAGAAATGTCTAACGAAACGAACGCAAGAGATAATTATTTTG